GGACAGGAATGAAGAAGCGACCGGGGATGTCCTCGCCGAAGCGCCCTCTATCGGCAGCTTTGAGAGTGGCCCACATGGGTCTGTGAAGTAGAAGGGCAAGAACTGGTGTTTCTGGGTGAAGACGGGGAAGGGAGTTAACATCATGTACACCATTGCACAGCTCTTTGCAATTTTAAATCCCCCAAGAGGAGAAATTTCTCGAGGTTCCTAGGACCATAGATATGTGATTAATGAAATGATGTAGTCTGGGTATCCAAAAGGATGACTTTTGAGTATGGGATTGGTCATCTGAAAGCTTGTCTGTGGCTAGTTCAGCTCCTGTTATCATGGGTCCATGAGTAAGAGCATAGGAGATATGTCAATACACAGTGAATCTTATTAGTCGTCCACCTCCCCTGGGCTGCCTCTAGACACAGACAACAGAGGTGTGTCTGTGTGTGCGCATGGATGGTAGTAGCTTCTGAACCCAGATGTTAATAGGGAAAGCTGGCACAGACACACTAGGCTCTTTGCTGGTCATCTCATCTGCCTTGACTTCAGAATTGAAGAGTGTTCCTTCAGTCATTTGACTGTGGCATGAACCATGAATTCAGTTGGGGACATGACCTTCCTTTTCCCCCAGTCTGTGGAATCCTGGGGAGGGAGGTTGGCCTTTTGCCGCTTCTATTCACCTTGGAATGATGTAAACAGAAATTAGCATCTGTCTCCTTCCTTTTTCCACACCCCGAAGTCATTTCCTCTTACCTGGGATTTCGATGTCTATATTCCTTCTGTGTGATGGATGCACGCAGAGAGAAAGGAGGGGGGAGGAACTTCTTAAAATTCCCCAAAATGTTTTGACACTAGTTTTCAATGTTGCAATTGGGACTAGTCAGTTTCTAGTTTGGGTTTCCATCAGAAAGTTCTGTAGGAGTAGAGTATATAAGCTCTAGGAGCAGCAGCAGCAGCAGAAGGACCAGTCAGTGGTTGAGGCACACCAGACCAGACAGCCCGCAGCGAAGCAAAGTGAGTACTCTCCTGTTCCCCACCACTAATTCCCTGAGCCTAAAGGCTGTCCAGGTACAGACTTCAGGGGTGTGCTACCCCTGAACCAGGCATCATGGGAGTGGGATCGGGGGTCTGGAAGTATCCCTGATGGCTTACCTGCTGGTAAGAACTAGGTACTTTGGGGACAGAGGTTTCAAATATTCATTTAAAAGTCAGCTAATTACAATATGATGGTGCAACACCCGTGATCCCCAAATTTGGGAGCTGGGGGGCAGAATGGACAAATTTGGGGGTTTAAAGCCAGCTTCAGCTACATGATAAGTTTGAGACACTGTCTAAAAAAAAAAGAATGCGCTATTAATAATGTGTATCAACCCTGTAAACAGATGGGTATCTGATAGGTTTGCTTTGCCTATATAGACACATACACACATGTGCGTGTTCTTAAGTATTAATGCTTGTCTTTTAAAGAATGTAGTTAAATTCTGTTCTTGCCTTACTAGTGAAAACTTTTTAAAAAGCCTTTCCTGCACCCCTTAAAGTTCCTGAACGCCATATTTGCTTCCTTCCCTGTGATGGGCTATAGAGTCAGCTGTGATAGTCAAATTGAATGGCTGGGTTCTGTGGTTCTTTCGGGTTTTTAGCTAATTTAGCCACCTCTGCAAAACTGTAAAGCCTTAGTCATGTTCAAAATTCCTTCTAAAGGGTTCTAAAATCTGTGAGAAAGGGGACAAGAGATCATCTTCACAGGCTGGTTTCTTCTGCTAGCCCAGGTAAATAAAGTCAGGAGCACCGGAGAGGTCAGGTTGACATCATGTTTTTGCACAGCGACCACTAAGCCTCAGCTGGCAGTTCAATTTGTTCAAGCAGTGTTTCAAGATGAGGTTAGGTTGTCTCCAAGGTTCATTCTGCTCAGATCTAAAATGCTATGAGTATTGCACCAATAATACATGGACTCCCTCTAGGGTATAAGACAAGACAAACATGAATTCTGCCATCAGACCTCAGTATGGGGGGCATATGCATTAAAGACGTAACCAAATTATTGCTATTGCAGTAAGTGCTGAAGGAGGAGAAGAGCAGGTATTTGGGGTCCTGGTTTCATTTGGGGATCAAGCTGGCACTTTCTATGAATTGTTTCATGAACTCCTATCCTGACAGAGTTCCTATTTAACAGTCTAGGAGTATGAGGTTTGACAAAGTCAATACAACTTGTCAGTGTCTCATAACTAACAAGGGGCAGAGCGAGGTCTGCCCAGCTCTGGAACCATGGTCCTTTGCCCATGCCCCTCATGCCATCTGTACTGTGTATTGTTATTTCTGAGCATTTTTACTTTTAAATATGATTTCTCTATTTGTATTTAAAGAAATAACAGAATGAAACTTGCAAAAGGGATGTCCACTCAGGGGTCCTGTGCCCAGGAGCATTTGCATACTCTAGGGAGCTGGACCTCTCTAACCCAGGGTTCCTGTGTCCTTTGTGCAAGAATTTCAGGAGTTCAGAAAACTAATGAAATCATACTAAACAAACAAACAAACAAAAACTACTGAATCATCAAAACTTGCCATGTCAAAGAACTGTGGAATGAGAGAGAGACACAGCTCCCCAGTATCTGAGGCTTAGCCCGAAAGCCAAAGCTTGGCCACATCCTGCACCCTTTTTGCTGTGTGGCTTTGATTAAGAGGAGACCCACCACCATTTCCACCCTCTGCTGGTATTCTTTGATCTAAGATGTAGGTGAAGCTGAAATGAAGATTATTCCCTGGACCATTGCCAGGGCTCCCTTCAACCTGAAATATGGTTCACGTGTGATGCTCAAATGCACCTGAGGCCCACAGAGGAAACGCTTGGCACGTCACCAAAGGGAAAAGTCCCTGTGTTGAGAGCATATGAAGAGATCACCAGGAGGGGCCAGGCATCTCTGCCTTTTTCCCTTCCCAGAGTGATGCCATCTGGGCTTTACAGCCATGTATAATTGCACCACCTTCCCTGGGCAACTCTCTCCAGCCTGGCAGATTTTTTTATTTTTAAACCTTCTGTATACAAAACAGAAAGAATTTCAAAATTTCCCCTAGTTCTTTTGCTAGTGCAGGGTAGCCCACCATCAGTTGACTGCTCTACCATATCATCTCGTTGCACACCTCCCAGCCCTTTAAGACCACATAAATCTTTACTATGTCCCTTTAGAGGTAAAGAGAGTAGGGCTCAGGGGAACAAGACCAACACCACACAGCTACTGAGCAGTAGGGCCAGAATCCAAGCCCATGTCTGCTTGACTCCAAGCCAACGAATGAACCAATCAGTGCCTGTTTCAGCTAGTCCTTGGCTGTATGATAACTTGGACCTGGACAAGGCCTGGTGTCTAGTCCTGTCTCTGTCCTTGGTGATATCTGTAAGGAAAGAGAGGACATAGCAAGGTCCACAAAGGTTAGCAGCAGTTCTGACAAAGGCATGATTTCAAACCAGTGCATGCTCATTTTTAAGGTATTTGCCTGGAATATTTAAGCCTTGATTCATATGGACTAGACCTCTCTCAAATCTTGTCCCTGCCAGATGGCAGCATCCTCCAAGATAGAAGGGAATTAATTAGTCACTAATCATCTCAACCACATTTATGAGTGTGGAATAAACTTCACAGTCGAAAGAATTCTGCTAACCCTGGGTGTTAATCTAGACTGGGTTACAATATAAGACGGTGGCTGATTTATGTACTTCAGTATTCCATGGTGGGTCAGTCAATGTGTTATTGTCTTCTGCCAAAGAATACCTTGATTTGTAGGAGTTCTGGACCCTAAACACTGGCTAACACGTCTGCCTTATAATGTGTTCCATGGACCAGAGGCATCAGCTTCTGGCACCTTCAAGACAGGTTAAATCGGACACTCTGGGATGAGACTCAGCAGTCTTAGGAAGTCTGGGTTATACCATATACTCAAGCTTATGAAATGCTAAGTTTTGTTATGAGGGTGAGAGCTAGCTTAGAATTTGGAATAATTTCTGCCTAGGTTTAAAATAGCTAAGCCACTACAGGTTCTTGCAAGAACTTGAAAGTTTACCCCTGCATTACTTTTCCCAACCTAACCTGGTCCTTTAGCCTAGGGCATCCCTGTGCTTTCTGCACAATGGGCAGTGATGCCGCTGCTCAGTGAGAGGGGAGGCAGAGCGTACACTGTCTGAGAAAATATGTGCAGCACAGCAGTGTTGGTCCTAGAAAGCAGTGTGTAGGGGAAAACTCTTTCCCACTCTGTTCAACGCTCTCTGGGAGTTATATTAATATTACAATCAGAACTAAGTAAGTAAGTGCAGAATGTGAATCCAGGAAGCCATGTTCCATCTCTAAGCTCATGTTTCTGCACCTTAAACAGATAAGATAATGAGCCAGGTGTGGTGATGGCACTTACCTTTAATCCCAGCACTCAGGAAAGCAGAGGCAGGTGGATCTCTGTGGGTTTGAGGCTAGCCTGGTCTACAGAGTGAGTTCTAGGACAACCAGGGCTGACATTCTGCCTCAAAAAAAAGGAGGGCGAGAAGTGTAGTATCAGCAAGACAAATTCAGCAGGTAAAATGTCTCGCTACACAAGCCTGATGACCTGAGTTTGAGCCCTGAACCCATAATGGAAGGAAAGAGCCAACTCCCAAAAATTGTCCTCTGACCTTCACACATGTCAACGCGAGTGTGCGTGTTCTCTCTCTCTCTCTCTCTCTCTCTCTCTCTCTCTCTCTCTCTCTCTCTCTCTCTCTCTCAATAAATAGTATCAGATAGCTGGGCCCTAGGATTCTTTCAGCTCCAGGTAGCCTATGATTCTCCATTTGGAGATGTTTTTACCCAAAACTAGAATGGACCTCCTATAATCCTGGTAGCTGACAGTGTGGAAGAGAAGGGGGAAGGTCAATATTTAGAAGGCAGAGAAAGTGTGGTTTGGTTAATTGGACAACGGTTGACATTCTCTGTCCTGTTTTCCTGTCCCTTCTTTTCCTTTCCTCCTCCTCTTCCTCCTGCCTCTCCACACAGATGTATCATCAGAAGCTGACCATCTCCTGGTTTGCCGTGGTTCTGCTGGCATCTCCACTCATGGCCATATGGGAGCTGGAGAAAGATGGTAAGCAGTCTTTCCTTGTTTTCTATGGAGTTCCAGGATCTAAGCCTGATCTCAAGGCAGCTGCTGGGAAAAGACACTGAAGTGGACAGCCATGCATGGAGTCTCCTCGGGGAAGATGCAGGGTTATCCTCTCTTCTTCCATCTCTGGGGTCTCTGCCTTGTTTGGTTTTCATGTTGGATGACAGGAAAGGAGCTTCAGGTAGACTGTGGCAGCAAAGGGCATATGATCTTTGCCTGTAATACTGTAATACTAAAACGACTCTTCCAAACAACTGAAATTCCCTAGTAGAGAATGTGAGAAGTAGCAGTATTGTCTTCTGCCCTCTGCTGTTCCTCCACACTACATTGTCCTCACAGTGGGCACTGTGGTGATTTTCCTCTCACCACTTTGGGATTGACGTTCTGATTGACTTGGGTTCAAATCATGGTTCTGCCAGGTATTGATTCTGAAACCTTGACTTGGATAACCTCATGGCCTCAGTGTTCTTAGTTGGGTGTCAATATTGACACTGACCACATGGACTATTGAATATGTTAATGAATACAGAAGACAACATATGATAAAATGGACATAAATATTGGCAAGCCCTAATGTTTAAAATAAAGTCTCTGAACTTTTCATTATCCCAATGCCAACAAGATTATTAGTATATTGTTGGCATAGCAAGGAGTTCTCTCTGTCCTTGTACTAGCTCACGCTTAGCAAATGTCCATCAACTCAGTCCTCAGATGTACCTAAAAGAATCTCAAATGTTTCATGAAATCCAACATAATAATGTTGGTAATTTCTGCTTTTATAGCTATACTGTCTCAGTTAAGGTTTCTACTGCTGTGAAGAGACACCATGACCACAGCAACTCTTACAAAGGAAAACATTTAATTGGGGTGGCTCACTTATAGTACAGAAGTTCAGTCCATTATCATTATGGTGGGACATGGCGGTGTGCAGGTAGACATGGCACTGGAGAAGTAGCTGAGAGTCCTACATCTTGATCTACAGGCAACAAGTGAACTATCTACCACACTGAGTGTAGCTTAAGCAAAGGAGATCTCAAAGCCCACTTCCACAGTGATACACTTCCTCCAACAAGGCCACACCTACTCCAACAAAGCCACACCTACTCCAACAAAGTCATACCTCCTAGTAGTGCCACTCCCTTTGGGGACCATTTGCTTTCAAACCACCACATATACTATAGTAATATTAAATATTTATTGAACATAGAACCTCATTTAATTTCACAACACTATATAAAGTGGGAGTATTCCATTGTACAGATTTTGAAAACCGAGGCTCAAGAGATCAAGTAACTTGCCCACAAAGGGTGGAACAGGACTTGACCCCAGTTCAGTCTCACTTCAGAGCCTGTGTATTTAGGTGCTAGAAGATTCTAAAAGGAGAGCAAGAAGCAACTGTTTCCTGTGCCCATAAAGAGGAAACAGACATAAATTAAAATGAAAAGATTTCTTGGCTGATGATTAGAAATAATATTTTGAGAACCCAAACAGTACAATACCAAAATTGGCACCTAAAAAACATTGAGGTCAGTGTTTTCATTCCAAAGAGTCACAGGAGCTAGAAAATGACTTAGCAGGTAAGGGTGCTTGCTGCCAAGTCTGATGACCTGGACTTGATCACATGATAGGAGAGGACCAATTGCTTCAAACTGCCCTCTGATCTCCAGACATGAGCTGTGGCATATGTACATACACACACACACACACACACACACACACACACACACACACACACACACACACACACACACACACAGAAGAATTAAATGCTATTTTAAAAATAATGATTTCAAGAAGTCTGGCCACCCACCCCAATCGAATTTTGGATCCTTTCCCAAGTAAAGCTGTTGCCACAGCCAGCTCTACAACCTAGGGATTTTTAGAGTGCTTGGGAAGGAACTGAGGCCAGGGCAGGGTTAACTCCTTCGTTAACATGGTAGACCACAGAAGTTTCAGAAAATCAATGTGAGAAGCACAGAGAAGGCTTGTGACGAAGTCACAGTGATGGCCTGTAGCCCAGCGGACAACTAAGCACTGCTTCCAATATCCCCAGGATATCTTTTCCTGCCCTTGGGGCAAGGTCTTCTGGGGTTTCTGAGTCCAGGTTCTAACAGGAAAATAACCTGCAGAGTTGTTCACTTGCCGGTAGGACAAAGAGAACCCGGAGGAAGCCAAAGGTTCCTGTGGTTTGGTGTCAGTGCAAGCTAATGATTTCCAAAGAGTTTGGCCTCCAGTGGTTTTTACCTCTTATCTTCGCTTCCCATTCAGCAGCTACATATCCCACTGATGTAAAGTGAGAACTCTGCATTTCACAATGCCTTCTGTTTGAATGCCAGTCACAAAGCCACCATTCACCGGGGCACTTGAGGGAGCTGTCTTAAGCTTGCATACCAATTAGTTTATCTGTCACCTTCTAAAGAAAGCCCTGTTTTATTTTCATTTTTCAAATAATGACATCAGAGCCAGGCATGGTGGTTCATGCCAGTAATCCCTGAACTTGGTAGGTCAAGGCAAGAAGACTGCCCCGAGTTTGAGGCCAGTCTGAGCTACAAAGTGAAATTCTCTAAAGATGATGACAGTAAGCTTAAAGGAGCTCCTTGTCCCTTCCCACACCCAAGGCTTTCTTAAGGTCTTTGGCTGGTTCTGGTCCATAGCTGTGCCGTTCCAAACCCCAGCTCTTCATCACTATGTCTTCCATACTTAATAAAACATCAAGACAATCCAGAAGACTTACCAAATGGGCCACTGGGACCACCCCAACATTTCTGACTCAGCAACGGGGAACACACATTGTGGATGAGTTTCCTGCTGATGTTGATGATGGAGGTTGGAAGACCCGCCAGGCTTTGAGGACCACTGCATTAAGTTATTCTTTTGATTAATAATTGATATGTGGGGTAACCAGATGAATGAAGCTTTGATGGGACATTCTCCAGAATACCTTATGGAGCTATTCCTGGGGGCTCAGTTAAAAACTGGCATTAGAAATCCATTGCCTAGCACAGGAGACTAAAGATCTGAACTGCAGTACTTGTCACACGTCACACTTGATGGGACCTTGCTTAGCTCCTTGGCATCAGTAACTTCCTTCAAAAAAATGAGGAAACTCTCATCTACTTATTCATACTCATGTAAATTAGCTTTTTTTAAAAAAAAAAAAGGGGGGGCAGCTAATGACAATCTCCATTGATGAGGTTCATGCAGAAGGGACTAAAACCTTAAACCTTCCTGGATAATTTTTTAAGTGTTTTTCAGTGCATTTGCCTGGCTCTTTGGTCTGTGGATGATGATGATGATGATGATGATGAGGAGGAGGAGGAGGAGGAGGAGGAGGAGGAGGAGGAGGAGGCTAGCACAGAGCTATGTTGCAGTTTCTGTGCTGAGGTCTGCGTTTTTATCCATCTCCCAGCCAAATCTACAAGCATAGACACTATTGTTCCTGTCATTTTGCAGGGACTCTGAGGCTCCTGGTGGTTCAGTCTCTTCCTCAAAATCCCCTTTCCAATTAGAGGAGACAGAATTTCCTGCTCTGTCTTCCTCCAGACCTATACTTGAAGCTGCTGTGTCACTCTGCTCAGCACGACACCAGGCCATATTCCCTGTGAACTGTAACTGCAAGTTTATTCCCACACCCAACCCCCACCTCCATTTCCACATCTCTAACAACGAATCTTGTACCGTTTGCATCTTTCTTGTTTAAAGGTTTTCCCTATGTGCCTGCTAATCAGAGATTAATTATTATAGGCCGACTGCCAGTTAATGACTTGGTGGCAGCTATAAAATTGTTTCTCTGTTCTGTGACCTTGAGTCTAGACAGGGCTCCATGCCCTCAGGCCATCTCAGCAAGCATTTGCAGAACTCTTGTGAGCAATGATGTGCCCAGGCAGTGGGGCTGCCAAGACAGTAAATGAAACCTAGTTCCAGAGTTCATGAAGCTCACCATCCAGGTCTTCACTGCTGGTCCTCTCCAGTTTATGTTGTAGAGGTGGACTGGTCCCCTGGTGCCCCTGGAGAAAGAGTGGTCCTCACCTGTGACACTCCTGAAGAAGATGATATCACCTGGACCTCAGACCAGAGCAGTGAAGTTGTCGGCTCTGGAAAAACCCTGACCATCCAAGTCAAAGAGTTTTCGGATGCTGGCCAATACACCTGCCACAAAGGAGGCGAGACCCTGAGCCACTCACTTCTGCTGCTTCACAAGAGGGAAGATGGAATTTGGTCCACTGATATCTTAAAGGACCAAAAAGGTAATTCCATTCTCTGGGATAGTATCTTTTCTTCTACTTCTCCTTTAAAAAAAAAATAGTTGTGTGTGTGTGTGTGTGTGTGTGTGTGTGTGTGTGTGTGTGTGTACAGGTGTGTGTACAGGTGTGTGTACAGGTATGTGTACAGGTGTGTACAGGTGTATATGTGTGTGGAGGCCAAAGGACAACCTTGGGTATTATCCTCAAAAATGTTTTTCATCTCCTTTGAGACAAGAACTCTCATTGGCCCATAGCTCACCAATAAGCTGGACTGGCTGACCAGTGACACCCAGATATCTTCCTGTCTCTGCCTCCCCAGCTCTGAGAATACAAGTACACGACATCACTCCTGGCATGTTTCCCTAACTAGGGACTGAACTCGGCTCCTTGTGCTTGTAGGACAATTTTATCAACTTCACTATCTTTGGAGCCCATTTGTCCCTCCCAAGAAATAGAAACATTAAAATTTTGAAAAGGCAGGACATATTTAGTGCAGTTAATGATTAAATGTAAGTCCTGGAATCTCCCTTTTCCTTGACTTTCCTGGAATTCTTGGGCTATTGGCCATTAATATTTAGTATTGAGAGAGTTTAGTTGTCTTTCTGAATGCATGTTCTCAAGTTTTCTTTGAATAACATCGATGTTATTGGATATCTGTTGAAAGTTAGCCAATGTGTCCAGTTAATAACTCAGTACTGGGGTGAGAACTTGGAAAAATTAATATTTCTGTATAATGGGTATAAAGTAAGTATGTGTGGTACATCACACTCTACAGAAAGAGCATCCTATCCAGATATTACCAATCTGTGCTGAAATACATGCCAACACAGCAGCCTCTTCCAAGGAAGCTGATGGAAGAATACCATGTGTGGCACGTAGTTTAGTGGTAAAGTGCTTGCCCAGCATGTGCAAGGCCCTGGGTTCGATCCTCAATACCACAGGAGGGAAAAAAGACTGCATCTAGCTGGGCAAGGTGGTTGGTACCTATTGTCAGCACTACAGAGAGTTCTAAATCCTTCTATACTGTCAGCCCAAGCTACACGAGACCTTGTCTCAAAAATCCCCACCCTTGTACCATTTAGTGGCTTATGATTCATCCACAATAAAAAATAAATAAATAAAACACCCTAGCCTTCCTTTACTAAAAGAAAACTCCTAAATATAGAGGGTTTTTTTTTTTTCCTTTTCTAACACAGATCCCAAAAATAAGACCTTCCTGAAATGCGAGGCAGCAAATTACTCCGGACGGTTCACCTGCTGGTGGCTGACAGCAGTCAGCACGGACTTGAAATTCAACCTCAAGAGTAGCAGTAGGTAAGGAAGCTGCTCTGGTTTCTCAACATTTTCCTAGACCTATTTCACAAAGAAAATAATTAGAAACTGTCGGTGGACTATCAGGAAATGGTACGGGGACAGCACAGTCGAACCTGTATTTTTTTTAACCTTTCCTCTACTTGCCCAAGGAAGTAACATGGAGCTTTAAGCTGGCCCTCTGAGAACAGTTCTCTGGTGAGTGTGAATTCACTCATCCAAATTGCCTGGCAGCGCTTCATTAAGGCTCACAGCACCGTGGGGAGAAATTAAAAAGAACTCATAGCTACAAATAACTTGCCAAAACTCTACTGTGCGCCAAAAACAGAAACAAGTGCTCTAAGGCCTCACTCTTGGAAACCCTGACGCAGATTCCAGAACCCTCTGAGGCCTTCTGAAATTTTCCTTGAGCCTTTTCAACTTCTTTCTGCCCTACCAACACCACTGTTCTCAAGTTCAGTTTGTCCAACACACTTGGGCTTTGCTTCAGGAACCATTTCCCAGGGCTGCAGAGCTGGTATGTCAGGCTGCTCTGCAGCTGTCTTCAATTCTCAGCTAACTCCCTGAGCCACGTGGAGGGCAGTGGGATAAACACCCTGGCTCTACTACTATTTAAATAAGTAAACTGGGGACTCAGTTTCTCATCTTTAGCATGCATTTGCTATAACTTAGAACATAACTAGGGAAAATCATGGTTTGGAGTGAAATCAGAGTCCTTGCTGCTCATATGAGAATGAGAATTTTCTGAGCTGGTAAAGGTGGCCCCTAAGCAGACCCCACGTACATTGCACGATGCCTACCTATAGTAACATGCCAGACCTCTATGTGCTTAAAAAAAATTAGACACACATAATAAATTTTCTTGCTAGAGAAATTCTTGCACATGTTCATGAAGTCACTGTTGCATGGATAAGGGACACTGAGATATTTTGCATAATTAGCAAAGAAATACTCAAATAGAGCATTAATGTGCATTTATTGAAAAGAATAACCCAATTATATGTTCTGCTTAGAGAATTCCCCACAATGCTTTCAGAGAGGAAAAAGATGGTTACAAAATCATATGTATATAATTTTCTTGTTTTTTTAAAGTCATGCTAATATGTAGATAAAAATACATATGTGCATATATATGTGTATATGATTATCTTGAATATTCTTTGGAAAACTCTAGAAAGCTGTAAATAATATCTATATTTGGGACTCAGATTTGAATTCAAATGGGGATGGCAGAGATACATATATTTTCTTTATAAACATCTTTGTCATGTTCTTTATAATTCGCGTCTACTGATCTTATGAATGATACAGAGAAAATTTAAATTTTCGATAAAGGGTTTTAAGCAGGTTGTCTTTCATTAAAGCATTTCCAGATTCATTTAGGCCAGAGATTTAAGTTTTAGTCTCTTAGAACTAAGCTTCCTTTTCTGGAAAGGGCTGGGTTTTTTTTAAGCCCAGAGGATAAATCTAACCAGCTACGTGGCCTGTTCTCAGACAAACTATAGTCACCAGTCACTTGCTCTCTGATCTATAACACAGAACAATTTCTGTCTTGGCCATCAGTTCCTCTGAGTCCCGAGCAGTGACATGTGGAGCAGCATCTCTGTCTGCAGAGAAAGTCACAGTGGACCAAAGGGACTATAAGAAGTACTCGGTGGCATGCCAGGAGGACATCACTTGCCCAACTGCCGAGGAGACCTTGCCCATTGAACTGGTGATGGAGGCCCAGCACAAGTATAAATATGAGAACTACAGCACCGGCTTCTTCATCAGGGACATCAGTGAGTTTTGTTTGTGTGGGAGCACGTGCCTGGGAAGTAAAGACCCTTGGGAAGCAAAGGTGCTGTTTGCCACATGCTCACGAGCCCCTGGGGTATAGGATTTACCTGAAGTCTTTTTTCTTCTGTGACTCCTGAAGAGCGTGATATAGACATTCTGGTCTGCATTTTGTAGAGGAGGAAACTGAGAGATTAAGCCACCTTTCCCCAGACCGCCAATCTCACAGCTGGCAGCCCAGATCCTGATCTCCCTCATGTAGCAGGCATCTTGTGACGTGTCTAATCGGCTACCCAGGTTGATGAATGATGAATCTGAGAGTCACTGGAGCAGATCATCCCATACTGAGAGCAGAATTTCCCTACCAATTGCAGTTTTCACAACTCATTTTTCTCTAGCATCCACATATATATGTGTAGCTATAAATTCCCTTGGACATCTACTTCTAAATTGACAGAGCGTTTGGCCTCATTTCTTTTACCACATATTCATGGGATGATCATCCCGATAGAATGTGATGGGATCAGAGAATTTGATGCAGAATTTGCATAAAGTCTGTACTTGGTGGGGGTGGGTCTTGTTCACAGGAGATGGCCAGGGAGGTAGGTACCCTCTGAGGAGATGACATTTGGCAGAGATCTAAAGGACAGATGTTGGTTGTATTATTATTACATTATTATTATTCATACTATTAACAATACTAATGAAGGGTATTTGTGAAGGGTCCACCAAGAACAATATAGTCATTGTGTGGAATACAGCTAGGCTTCCTAAACTGGAGTATACTCCAGAGATGTCTCCATCTAGAAGAAAATGTCACTTGAAGATCATGATAGTCACTGTATCCTCAGACAGAGTCCAGTGGTGGCACCTAATGGATTACAAATCTTGCATCAGCTACATGCTTAGTGTAAAGTGAGGGATCAAGCCCAGAGAGGGTGTCCCTGATGGCAGAGCCCAGATACTAGTCTTTATTAAGTAGAATGACTCCCTCATCAGTAACAGTGACTTCCTCACATGGGAGAAGCATCCTCAGCTGAGGTCCCTCACAGGTTCTGCCCAGGTGCTCAGAGAAGTGAAGGAGCTATAGAAACTAGAAGGTGGAAGGACCTCTCATCCAAGATCAGAAGTCTAAACCCTGGCTCCAAAGCTTGACAGGATAATGAAGGATGTTTGTTATTCTTCTGCAGTCAAACCGGACCCGCCCAAGAACCTGCAGGTGAAGCCTTTGAAGAACTCTCAGGTGGAGGTATCCTGGGAGTACCCTGACTCCTGGAGCACTCCTCATTCCTACTTCTCCCTCAAGTTCTCTGTTGAGGTCCATGGCAAGAAAGGAAAGGTAAGGCAGGGGTGCAGGCGCAGTGTATCCAAGTCGGACTTATGCAGCCCCTGTTGGGGACAATGTGAAGATCCTAACGACCAGGCGCTGGCTACAGGACTAGAACTGTACTAGGGGCTCTCTGTGTGTATCACACACAACCCACACAAAGACCCAAAGGCAGCCTCTCCACAGAGGACAGTGACGCCCAGAGAGGCTCTGACTTGTCCAAGTTCACCCAGCTAGAGCAGCGACAGAACCGGGACACAGCATCAGTCAGCTGGAGGCAAAGGTTGTGACTCCAGTCACCCCACTTCCTCCAGGACAGTGGACCGTCCATCCTCAACTAAAATTGTTGATGATATAGAGACCTGGGTTCCAGGAGCCTAAAATGATTGTTTCAACTGAATGCTAGAACATTGGTGCTGTGTCTCACCCAATATGGATAATCCCTACTTGTATAATAAATATATGGTGCAATGATTTCACCAAGCAAGGTGCCCGCACTCATACAGGCTAACATAGTGGCTTTCCAGCCTCCTGACCCTTAACAGAGGGATCTCTTGCAAGGTTTTGGGAACAGTTTTACAGAGCCTTTAAAATCACAAATAAAGACTCTTTCCTACATATCATTTAGCATGTGGTAACAATTCAGCTTAAATCTCTCTCTAAAAGCAGGAACAGAAAATGAGGTTAATTTGAAACAGGTTTTAACTGTTACCAAAATCTTGTTAAGTTTCAACCCTGTGTATATGTATTTAACATACATGTCTTAACTAGGTAATGTTGAGCATTTTCTACTGGCTAGAAGCTTTCTTAGCATCTTTACCTAAATACTGTATTTACGTTCTGCAGTTCTTTGAGGCAGGCGTTAACTTGGGACCCATTCATAAATAAGGAGAGACACAGGGAGCCAAAGACATTTTCCTGAAGCACCACAGCTGTTTAGTGGCACTGCAGGATTTGAAGTCCCATTTGTAAGCTGACAGGCACAGGGGAGAATATCTCTGGATAGCCAGAGGGCAGCTAAGGAAGGTTGGTCTGAGTCCCACCATTATCAGCCTCATACTGCAGTCATTGCCCATGGGGTCTTAGGACAAGGCTACTATTCAGAGACAGGAAGTGGAGCAAGCCATTTCTGTTGAAGCTTACGAAATAGAAAAATGAGGCCCGGGAGATGGATGAGTCAGTGAGTTACTTCTTGCATGAAGACCTGGATTCTAACTCCCAGAAACTATGTAAAAGCTGAATGTAATGCCTATAACCCCAGCATTGGGGCACGGTGGGAATAACACACACACACACACACACACACACACACACACACACACACACACACACACACGAGACAGAGACAGAAACAGAGACAGAGAGAGTCTGTGTTTACAGCTTCTGCCAGCAGGTGGTGCAAGGGTAGCATCTTAACACAACACTGTGTTTGTTTAAGGAGGTCTTGTTCTGCAGAAACATGCCAGCCTGCCTTGTTTTGTCTAAAGCCCTTATGCCTTCCTCTCCTTTGCAGAAAAATGAGTCCCTCATCGTAGACAAGCTCTCTGCCCAAGTCCGATGCTCCAAAGGTGCAGAGGTCCGGGTGCGAGCTCAGGATCACTACTACAATTCATCATGGAGCAAATGGACATCTGTGCGCTGCAGTTAGGTGAGAATCCTAACCACACCTGCACGTTCAGTGGTCCTGGTGGAGGACAACAATGAGGGGAGGGGCTTGTCAGGAACCGGGGTGGAGTTACTGGCATAGGGATACCAGAGTCAGAAACACATCTGTCCACTACCAGATATTAATTTGATGTCTATGTTAGTTCAGGCGCTGTTCTGGGCCCAGAGATACTGTAATAAAGAAAACAGGCATGGGTCCTACCCTTATATGGGGAAAGACAAGGAAAACCAGATGGGGAGAAAACCAGGAGTAGAATCAGGAGGACTTGGGAGTAGACAGAAAGTGGAACCTTGTCCTAGGGGTTCTGGGGACCACTAAACTGTTTTTAATAAGAGAATGGCCCCTTTAAAGAAAAATCTCTCAAGAGAGTCCCTAGCAAGCATGAGACCAGCTGAATTCTGAGCCCTGTAAGGAAGGGCTGGCCTTCTCACATGGAAACCCTAAGACCCCAATGGCTGGGGAGAATGTGTGCTGAGAAACAGGAGGATACACTTTGAGGCTACACTTCTGGCTAACACAGACTTACCCACATTCCTTTACAGGGTCCAATCCCAGGATGCAACCTTGGAAGAAAAAAAATAAGTGGAAGACATTAGGAAAGAAAAGTTTAAACTCATGATGGAAGAGACCCCCAAAGCTATTTTCTACTTGGTTGGCTTTTTCCAGTTTTTTAGGTTCATACTGACACCTCTGCTATATTTCTACATTTAAATGTTAAATGCCCACTGAGAATGAGCTAATTCATGTATAGATATTTTAACACTGTACTTGGCCTGATGCTATTTAAATATTTAAGTAATTTATGTATTTATTAATTTATTTCTGTATTTAACATTTGTATACCAAGATGTATTGAATATTTCATGTTCTCATGGGCTGATTCACAGAGACCAGGCCCTGTTATGCGAAGTGTGAACTTGTTATCTTCTTCAACAACTTTTCAACCTAGGCTGCCCAGGTCCATTGGCTTTTGTGACAACCAATAAGAACAAGATATTCTGACACAAGCAGTGTTATATATTTGTGATTAGTAAAGACCCAGGGGGTATTTAGCGACATGGAGATGCTATGAAGGAGACACTGAAGAAATCAGTGATGGTTCCAGCATCAATGCAGACTTCCTAGCAGTGGTATTGATGAGAAACCAGGGCCACTTGTGCTTCTATTAAACATCGGGTACCTACATTTAAAAGAATTTTTAAATCCACGTTTGGGGATGTAGCTCAGATGGTGCTTGCCTAGCATTCACAAAGCCCTGGGTTTGGTCCCCAGCACTGTATAAACTAAGCAGGGTGGTGCATCCCTTAATCCCAGCACTAGGGAGATAGGGGCAGAAAAGTCAGAAGTTCAACATTATTGTCATCTACATAACAAGTTCAAGGCCAGCCAGGACTACATGATATACTATCTCAAGAAGACAGGAAGGAGAGAGGAGGTAGGGAGAGTGAGCTGGTTACCTCCAGACGTGGAATAGACACATCCTGGGTGTCTGGAAGCAAAGAAGCTCTTGGCATCTGAGAGGAGACAGAAGTGTAGTTGTGACTAAAGGACACCAAATCCAGAGTGGCAGATCAGCCATGCAAATGGATGCAGAGAAAACTGTGCAGAATCAGTCTCTTTAGCCTGAGTGAACCTAAGGTGCAGCTATGACCAGACGGGATCCATCGTGTCACGAAGGTTCTGCTGCTGCATAATGACCATGCTTCTTGTGGTGACTGCCTTTGTTTATTTATTTATTTATGCCTTGTGAGACCAAACAAATAAAGACTCTTCTTTGCAGTCATGGTTTTCTACTTTCTCAGCTGACTTAGGCGTTCCATTTTCAAGCCTATTTAAGTGCGCCCGCCTCCCCCAGCCCCATGACCTAAGATCATCTCCTCCTTGAAGTGATTTCATTTCCAATTGTGCAGAGTTGCTCTTTCCTTTTATAGCATTTCCAGCATCGGTGCCTTGCTGAGCTCAGGGGAAGGTCCCTGCAGGCTTCTCAGCGGGGACTCTATGAGGACACAAGATAGTACTGTGTCCTCTGTAGGGGTTGCTGCTCCATCATCAATCCTGAAGTGATACTCTGATTTCTCCCTGTCTTGGCTTCCTTTATATATTGCTGTGATAAGCCACCACACCCAAAAACAATTCCGGGAGGAAAGGGTTTATTGTGAAGGGAAGTCAGGGTAGGCACTCAAGATAGGAACAGAAGCAGAGGCTGTGGAGGAGCACTGATTTTTTGGCTTGCTCTTCCTGGCTTGCTCAGTTTGCTTTCTTATACAACTAGCTGCCCAGGCACCTGTCCTTAGCAGTCTGGGCCCTCCACATCAACAGTCAATCAAGAAAATGTCCCCACAGGCTTGTGCTGTGGATGCTGTGAATGTGTTGCTCGGATTGATTGATAAATAAAATGCTGACTGGCCAGTAGCCAGGCAGGAAGTATAGGTGGGACAAGCAGAGAAGAGAATTCTGGAAACAGGAAGGCTGAGTCAGGAGACGCTGCCAGCTGCCGCCATGAGCAGCAACATGTAAGATACCGGTAAGCCACGAGCCATGTGGCAAGATATAGAATTATTAAAAATGGGTTAACTTAATATATAAGAACATAAAGCAAGAAGCCTGCCACAGCCATACGGTTTATAAGTAATATAAGTCTTTGTGTGTTTACTTGGGTCTGAGCAAGCAGGACTGGAGAAAACTGCAGCTACAGGTTTGCCAATATGACCGAGACATTTTTTTTTCCTAATGAATTTATTTTACATCATGGCTGCAGTTTCCCCTCCCTCCTCTCCTCCCAGTCTCCACCTCCCACCCCCACCCCCATTTCCACCCTCCAATCCACTCGTCCTCCATTTCTGTTTAGGAAAGGGCAGGTCTCCCATGAGTATCAACAAAACATGGCATATCAAGTTGCAGTAAGACTAAGTACCTCCCCATATATTAAAGCTAGGCAAGGTGACCCAGTATGAGGAGTAGGGTCCCAAAAGCCAGTAAAGGGTCGCAGACAGCCCCTGTTACCAACTGTTAGGAGTCCCACAAGAGGACCAAGCTACACAACTGTAACATATATGCAGAATGCCTAGGTCAGTCCCATGCAGGCTCCTTGGTTGTCAGTTCAGTCTGTGTGAGCCCCTATGAGTTCAGGTTAGTTGATTCTGTGAGTTTTCTTGTGGTGTTCCCCTTGCCCCATATCCTCTCCAGCATGAGCTGTCACTTGTGCCATTGTGACAGGTGTAAGATGGATTCTCAGAGTCGTCTTGATTTGCATTTCCTTGGTGGCTTAGGATGTTGAACATCTTAGTGTTTCTTGGCCAGGGGTGTTTTCTTAACTGAGGGTCCCTCTTCTCAGATAACTCTAGCAAGGTGGCAAAAAGACTAGCCAACTCATCCCTACACCATGAAATAAAACTCTACACGAGATGAATGAGCCTTGACCACCTCATCTGCCCATGCCATCCATTCAACTGCAGTGTTTACTGAGGAGCTGTACCATGTTTGGATGTGCGTTAGCCCTTAGTGCTTGGGGTTTCCAATGAACCTCATGCTGTTTTCCCCTTAGAGTGCCCATTTCCGGCATCCCTTACAAAACAAGGCCGAACGTGGTTAATCCCATTGAGTGCTGAGATGCTCACTGTGTACGATGTCCCAGGATCTCGACAGACTAAAGAGGAAAGAGAAGTCAGCTTTGTTTAAATCATGGGCAGGACCTATCAAGTTGTCCTAGTGGGTGCTATGGGAAGACTAAGCAGTGAACTCAAGAATGGATATCAACTCCTTGCTATTCTGGAAACCCAGCTGTGCACATCCGGGCTTCTTTGCAATGGCAGGGTGATTTTTGGTAGAGTTATTTGCTTAGAGTCCTGGTTGTGTTTTCTAGAAGGGTGGGAGGGAGTTTCTGCCATCCTATTCAAGGAAGCACAACATCCTGTTATGAGCCTACGCTTGACAGCAGGGGATGGCTTCTAACACCTTTGATCTTTCCACGAGGTCTTTTATCTAGTGATACCAAAACATCTAGTAGGAACTAAATGAACAATGATAGGAAAAGAATAATCACATTTTATAAGCACAGAGACCTAGGGATGTTTCCCCAAACTTCCAGCAAGCTTCAGGCAGGCTTGGCTCTTCTGGCCCTCACCACACAGTTGCTTTTCTGACACGACCTCTTAACATTTGCTTGATTTCAGTGCACACAATGAAGAGTCTCTCTAATTGAAATCTATTTTCCAGGACAGAGCTTCATAAAAGTCAAGTCACTGGATGTAGTGATGGCGCTGAGCATGCAGTGTGGGTGCCAACCACCAGGCCCTGGTCCTGCTCAAAGCTCTAAGACCTGCTATGACCACCCTGCTGAGGTCAAGGTGTGGACCTTGAAGGGTTCTGTGTGCTGACAGGACATTAGCATCATCACCACCAGACCTTGAGCTCTCTGAGATTAGAGTTCATTCTTGAGGTACAAAAAAATGCAGACACCCAGGACTGTGGTACTGATGGAGCACAAGGCACAGAAGGTCACCACTGAGCACCAGAAGCCGAAGGTCGGAATTAGATAGAGAACCAGCAGTTACAGGAGCTGCAAGTAGATGGGTCGCAGCAGGAAGCAAGAGAGAAGAGCAATGGTAGGTTCACCTGACCAGGAAGAGCAGACTTGGGCACGACTGAACAAGCACTATGCCTACAAGAGAGGGTAAAAACTTTCATACCCAGGGGCAACATGGAGGCCTGTATAGAAGTATTAGGCTCCTGGAAGAACCACAACTGGACCATCACTAGAAAGGGGCAGGTGGTCAGGTCATAATGCAGAAGCTCTTAGGTACCCAGAGTCTTGGGCAGGTAATTATAATGGCACATAGGTCAAATATGCAACAACTGTATCACTTCTGCAATGAAACATCTCACAGCATTCCTCCCCATCCTCCAGCTCTTCTATACTCTCCACTCTCTTTTTCAGGATGCACACTGAGCCTTGGGGAGCTTGATACAGATGTCCCATGTAG